GGATAAAAAGAGAGAAAAAAGAAGAAACAGAAGAAAATGAGATGGAGGAAAATACACAGTTAGTAATCATAACTGTGAATGTGAATTGGATGAGCTCACCCATAAAACAGAAGCAGCGGAATGGATTAGAAACCAGAATCCGACAATATGTTGTTTACACTTGAAACAAAACATACACACAGACTTAAAATGGTGCAGAATATATTATGTTTCAGCTGAAGTAAAAAAGGAAGGGGTAGCAATCATGATTTCAGACAAAGCAAAAGTAAAAATAGACCCAATGAAGAGATAATCAGGGAAACTACATTATGCTAAAAGATACCATAGACAATGAAGTAATACAAATTTTTTTTACAAGTTTATCTAATAAAGACCTCATTTCTCAAATCTATACTGAGTATAGAAGTGAGTCAAATTCATAAAAATAAAAGTTGTTCCCCAATTGATAAATGGTCAAAGGATACAAGCAGGCAGTTTCTAGAAGAAGTCAAAGTTATCTGTAGTCATATGAATAAATGCTCTAAATTACTATTAATTAGAGAAATGTAAATTAAAACAATTCTGAAAAAATTGGAAAAAAATCAGAAAAAAAAACAACAAAGCTCTCACACCTATCAGAAATGACAAATGCTGGAGGGGATGCGGGAAAAATAGGTACTCTAATGAATTGCTCACCAGGTAGCTTAGTGAATTGGTCTAACCATTCTAGAAAACTATTTGTAACTATGCAAAGTTCTATAAAAGGTTTATAAAAATATGCATACCTTTTGACTCAGCAATACCACTTAGATTTATATCCCAAAGACATTAAAGAAAAAGGAAAATGGCCTATATGTACAAAAATATTTATAGCAGCTCCTTTTGCGGTGGCAAAGAATTGGAAATCAAGGAAAAGCTCATCAATTGAGGAATGACTGAACAAATTGTGGTATATTATTGTGATGGAGTACTATTGTGCTGTAAGAAATGACAAGGGGTGTGGTTTCAGAAAAACATGGCAAGACCGATATGAACTGATACAAAGTGAAGTGAGAAGAACTAGGAGATCATTGTACACAATAACAGCAATGTTTCAATAATGATCAACTGTGAAAGATTGTCTACTCTGATTAATGCAATGATCTAAGAAAATTCCAAAGGATTCATGGTGAAAAAATACTATCTACCTCCAGAGAGAGAGCTGATGAACTCTTGAGTGCAAATGGAAATAGAATTTTCTTACTTTCTTGATTTTCCTTGCCTTTTTTGAAATATTGCTAATATAGAAATATGTTTTGCATGATTTCACACGTATAATTGATATATTGCTTGTATTCTCAGTGGGTAGGGGAGGGGTGGAAGGGAGGGAAAGAATTTGGAACTCAAAATTTAAAAAGAAAAGAATGTTAAAAATATATGTTTAAAAATGCTTTCAGTTAAGAATAGTTGAAGACTCTAAATATTCTGCCCATATTTTTTGAATATTTTATTTTTCCCAATTACATGTAAAAACAATTTTTGACATTCTTTTTATAAAAAATGAGTTCCAAATTTTCTCCCTCCCTCCTCCCTGCCCCAGTAAACAATTTAACATAGGTTATACATATCTGTACATATTTTAAAAGCCCCCATCTATGGGGTCAGGCTTAAATCACTCCTGAACTTAGCCCATGGCCATTGTCACATCTGAAACACCTTCAGTGAGTCTAAAATAGAACTTATAATATTTTCCCCAAAACTTAACTTTCTCTATTACTGTCAAGGGCACCACCAGCCTCATAGTCACCCAAGTTCATAGCCTTGGTATCTTTCTTTTCATTCCTTTCACATCCATTATCTAAATGGATTTTTGTCATCTATCCAAATAGTGTCCTGTTTACCTATGTAACTTCTTTCCATATGTTCTCTTCTTTTTATTCTCACTGCCACCACCCTAGGTCAGGTGCTCACCACCTCTCACCTGGATTATTGCAATAGCCTTCTTATATGTGTGGGGGGGGGCGCGCGGCAATCGGGGTTAAGTGACTTGACTAGGGTCACACAGCTAGTAAGTATCATGTGTCTGAGATTGAATTTGAACTCAGGTCCTCCTGACTCCAGGGCCAGTGCTCTATCCACTGCGCCACCTAGGTGCCCCTGCAATAGCCTTCTAATTAACTAGCCTGCCTCAAGCTTTTCTCCACTCCAATCCTTGCTACACACATCTGCCAAGGTGATTTTCCTTAAGTATAGGTCTGACCATCTCAACTCCTCTACCTCAGGCAATAAACTCCAGTGGCTCCCAATTCCCTCTAGAATGAAATATCAACTGCTTTGTGATTTAAAGCTGGCTTCTTCCTACCTTTTCAGTCTTCTCATACATTACTCACCTCTACAAATGCTATGATCCAACCATACTCTTTTATCTGTTGCTCTTCACATACAACCTCCATCTCCTATCTCAGTATCTCCAATATCTGGAATTCTCTCCAAAGTCCACCTTCTTCAAGGGGTCTTTCCCTCTCTTCCCCCCTCCCCCGCCCCAGCTTCCCCCAATTGCTGGTGCCAAGGTTACTTCCATCTATTCTATATGTACAGGCAGCTAGGTGGTGCAGTAGATAGGACGCCAGACCTCAAATCAGCAAGAACTAAGTTCACATCTTACATTTACTAGTTCTATGACCCTGAACAAGTCACTTCATCTGTCTCGGTTTCCTCATCTGTGAAATGAGGATAATAATAGCATGTACTTCCCAAGGCTGTTGAGAGCATAAAATGAGATAATTGTAAAAACACTACGTAAACCCAAAGGGACTCTATAAAGACTAGCTATTAGTATCATTATGTATCTTGCATGTACCTGTTTATAAGTATGTTGTCTCTCCTATTAAAAGGAAACTCTTTGAGAGAAGGGGCTATTTTTGTTTTTTCACTGTATCCCTAGAGTTTAGCACATATGTGCTTCCTAAATGTTTGTTCATTGATTGATTCAACATTACCCTGGAATTTCCCTCTAGGAAGAAGAGAAGGGTACAATATTCTCTGTGGTGGGACAGTCAGTGTACACAATAAATCTCTTTTTGCCCCAGTGCCCAAGCTCTGCTGGGGTGGGACAGGATTATCTATTTGGCAATTAATCACTACAAGTCTTGGGACATCTGATTCCTTATTCATCTGATTAAGTTTCTTAAGACAGCCAGGGAATTGAGTAGATTGTCTAGTTCAATCCTCCCATTTTACCAATGGAAATAACTGAGGTTCCTAAAAGGGAAGTAACAGGGGCAGCTAGGGGGCACAGTGGCTAGAGCACCGGCCTTGGAGTCAGGAGGACCCAAGTTCAAATTTGGCCTCTGACACATAACACTCGCTAGCTGTGTGACTCTGGGCAAATCATTTAATCCCCAATTGCCTCACAAAAACAACAACCATAAAACAAACAGAGAAGTCATTTATCAAGAGCTACACTGCAGGTTGGTAACAGAGAACTAGGCTAGAGGTCCTGAAAAGGTAGAGTCTAGGCTAGAACTTGAGGCTACCAATTCCTAGTTTATCATCCTTTCCACTATACTACCCTCTGCTACTCCACTATCTATCTTCTGCGTTATCATGAATTATTATTTAAATATCACCAAGTCAAGAGGCCCCATCTTATGGTAGAAGAAACCCTGAACTAGGAGGTAGAATATCTAGACTGAGCTTCAGTTTGAAATATTGACTGATTAGTTAGTTGTGTGACCTTGGGTATTTCATTTTCCCTCTTTAGCTTTTTCCTCTGTAAAATGAGGATAATAAACTCTGCCCTTCCTCCCTCACAGGGCCATTGTGATTACGCACTTAAAATAATAGATATGAGCTAAGCTAGATAGAAAAGTTAAGTAGTAAAGTCGTGTAACTTTTCACCTGCTTCCTTAGCACCTTCTTCAGGACCCAAAACCTAGTTCAGAACTACCATGGGGATTAGATTAGATTGAATTGGATTTGCTGGTTATGAGCTCACTGAGCCTAGGAGAGGTGAGGTAGGGACACCCGGTTCTCTGTGGGACTAGGCTGGCAAGGACAGGAGGTAAGGAGGGAGGCCAACAAGTGACTCTGATTATCTTCCTCTCCACTGTCTCCCTCCAAGGAGAAGAGGAAGCTTCAGAAATGATCAAATAAATATGGAAGCTTCATCAACAACTGCCCAAACAACAACACTGACAACAACCCGGCTATTAGATGCTTCTTCCTAACCCTCCTTGAATCCCTCAAAAGAAAAATATCCTCAGTGGCCAGCAGCAGGTACAAAGGGAGAGGTGAAGTAAGTATGATGAGGGGGTTGGGCTAAATGATCTGTAAGGTCTCTTCCAAATCTAAATCCTAAAATCCCAAGGATTTTTGGGGGGTTTTCTAATAGACTCTCCAAATTTCAGGCACATACTCTCATTCTGTGGGTGGGCCCAGCCAGTCCTAATTAGAGATTTTGCTCATTCTGCTTTTCACTTCCCACCTCTTATCCTTCCCAAGCATAGTCCTCCCCATCGCCGGAAAGCAATCTGGTCCAGCCACAGAGCGAACGCATTGCCTCCACTCTCACTTCTTGTCAGACAGGAAAGGGTTAATTCCTCAAACACACTAAAGGGGCCAGAGAGGCAGTAATTAACGTCAGGGGTTTGGATGAAAGGGGCAGGCTTGGCCAGGAGGTATGGGGGTGGGAGGAGAACGCACGCGTAGACTGTGAAGACCAGGACACAGACGCGGTCAGTATTCAGGAACAGGGCCTGGGAACTTCTGGGAGAGGCAGGGTGAGGCGGGGCGAAGTAAGAGGCTGGGGCCTCCGACTGCGCCAAGGGGGGCGGAGTCCAAGTGATACCCTACTGGGGGCAGCCAATCGAAGAGCTGGAGGCAGGACCGGGGCCGGGGCAGGACTCCGGCCCACGCTCCGGGATTGGGCAACAGCCGGAGGCAGGGTGGGAAGCCGGCCTCGGGGCCGCTGTCCAGTTTCTTGGCAATGTGGGCATATATACCTCAGTGAAGAGGCGCCTGTGGCGGGGTTTTTGCTGCTTTTAAGTGCTTAGCTGTTGCGGGTCTCGTGCTAACATCGCCCCACAGTTCCCGGCGTCATTCCGTCTAGGGCACATTAAGCATTGTAGAGATTTCTATCCTCTCTGCGTATCTACTGCCTTTCTTTGCTCCCTCAGGTCATGCAGCAAATAGAAAACAACGACTCCTTAGAAGAGATGCTTATCCATACCTACGAATTCGAAAAGCTAGCGGACTTTCGACCCTTGCTGTGTGAATATTGGTGAGTAAAATCCCCTTGCCCCTGCCATGGGGACACTCTTTGGACAGCCAAAACCGAGCCAGGACTTACACTCTTAGGTTTTGCGTGGATGCTGGGGAGACAGATCATGGGGCTTAGGAGAGAAGGCTGGGGAATGGGACTCCTTTCCAAACGAACTGCTCTCCTGCTTCTCTTCCCCACTCAGAAGCGATTCCCTACTCAGAAGGGCAGGGGCAGGGGAGAAGAGTCAGAGAGAGAGGACGAACAGAAAGGAAAGGTGGAAGGTAGTAAGTAGAAGTGGAAAAAGACTTTATAACCTACTTGGGAGGCCAAGTTCCACAGAGTGTGTGGGGAGAGAGGGAAGTTCTCAAGTTCTCTTGCAGCTCTCCTCCAAGGGCTGACTGGGCAGAAATCCTACCTACCCTCAAAAGAGTAGAGAGGTCCAGGTGAAAAGACTATCTGACACTTAAATGGGATGAAAGATGAAGAGGAGAGAGAGAGAGAGAGAGAGAGAGAGAGAGAGAGAGAGAGAGAGAGAGAGAGAGAGAGAGAGAGAGAGAGAGAGAGAGAGAAGACAGGGACAGCAAGAGCCAGTGGGGAGTCAGATTGTATTGACCTGCTTTCCCTTCCCACATCTCCCACCTGGGCTAGCTCTTCCTCTATTCCCATACTCTATCCCACTCCATACTCTCTTCCTCTCACCTTATGTCCTGGGAAAGCCATATAGTAGATGTGTCCAATGAGGATTGTAGGTGTCTCTGGCTCTCAGGCGATGATTATGAGCCAGGCTCAGTACCAGTCCTGATGAGGGTACCTTTTCTTCCCTCTATGTATACGTCTCTCCTTGGCTTTCCAGAACTTTATCCTGGAGGACTAGGAGTTACTGTATGAGTTTGTGTATGTTTTTCTGTCTGTATAAATGCAGGTGTATCTGTATATGTCAGCATATATGTATATACAACTGTCTGTGAATCTCTCTGTGTGGAGATGAACATGGGGCTGCTAGAAACCAGGGGCTCAGGGTGGGGTTGGTCCCTCTGAGTGAGCAGCCACCCTTCACAATTGGCATTTTTGTACCCTGAATACCCCATTGTCTGGGGAACTGGGAAAGGAGGAGATGTCTGCTCTGCTCACTAGTTTTCCCTCAGCTTTCCTGTTCCCATTGATCTCCACCCATACACATCAGTGCCTAGACTGGGCAGCAGGAGAGACATGCCATTACCGATCAAAATCTCTGATGCAGATGGGAGGCTGGTCCTGGCCCTGGCAAGGAGGGAAGGGAAGGAGTCAAACTATGCATATGGGGTGGTTTTCTTGCCCCAACATAGAGTGGGGGAGGTAAACAAGAAGCTTGCTGGAGACAAACAGCAGGATATTAGTGAGTGTGTTAATGAGGAAGGGGACAGCTGAGGAAGGTACCCTCAACATTCGGAAAGGTATAAATAAACCTCGACTCCTTTAGCATCAACTGCCTTCCCTGCCAAATCACTGTGCTACCAGGACCAGGATATTTAATTGTCCATGTTTCCCAAACCTTGTATGGCATTTTTTGGGGACATGTCCTTTCCAACCCCAAAAAGATTTCCCACAGTCCCTTAGTAATCCATCTCTCTTACCCTTCCAGGACAATATCCTTCCTCTTGACCCTTATCTACCTAATGTTCATTTTTATGGGGCAGAGATATATGAAGGACCGAAAAGGCTTCAATCTACGATTGCCCCTGGCGATTTGGTCATTCACCCTTGCCATTTTCAGGTATTGACTTCCAGTCTCATTCTTCCTAACATTCTTCCATATCCCAAGGGTTCTAGACTTACCTAAGGTTCACCACCTTTATCCCTTGGACCCCCAATTTCCTTTCATCACTAGTGGCCCCTAACCATTTCCCCCCATTTCTCAGATCACAACAAATCTCAAATTCTCCCACTTTCTGGGCCACCAATGCCCACCACCTTCCTTATCAGGATTCTTTGTCCTCTCCCCCAGTATCCCACAATCCATTTCCCACTTACCTCCAACCCTCCCCACCCTTTAAGTCCCTAATTTCCTAGGCCTTCAATGCTTTCTGAGGAGTTTGCCACCCCTGGAATCCCTACATCTATATTCTCATGGTCCCTGACACTCTCAGAATCCCTTGGGGCTCTCATACCTTTCAGGCCTCTGAATCCCCTGGCCTATAAGATCTTTCACCCCTGTAAATGGACAACCCCTTTTAAGTGGGAGGTGGGGTCAGGGACAGTCAAGGAAAAAGGGCTTATTGGCTTTGGGCTATTTCAGCATCCTGGGATCTGTGAGGACATGGAAATATCTAGGAGCTCTATTGATGTGGGGGGGGCTGAAGAGTTCCTTGTGCCACCCTGGCTGCATCACTAACAGCACTGTGCGCTTCTGGGCCATGCTTTTTGTACTCAGCAAAATTGTGGAGTTCGGTAAGTTACAATTTCCTCCAGCCAAATTCCTGAAGAAGCCACCTTCCCACCTAGGAGTCCCCTAGGAATCCCTTGCCCACTTTCCAGAAATGTTCTCTGCACTCTCAGGAAGCCCCTACCCTGAGATACAGTTTACTGTAGTGAAAAGAACATTGGTCTCGCTTTCAAGAAGATCTGGGTTCAAGTTCAGTTGTGTTACACAGAAGCTACATGTCCCTGAACTTAATCTCTGTAAGCTCCAGGTAATCCATCTACAAAATGGGGATAATAGTACCTGTATTACCTATCTCACATGGCTGTTGTGAGGAAAGTGCTTTGTAAATGAAGTGCTACATCAGTGTTATTATTAAGAGTAGAAGTAATAATAATAATAGACATTCTTCTTACCTTGGGATCCTTGCCCCCAAACCACTTTTCTCATTCTGGGACTTACCCTTTCCTGCTGTTCCCACTTCTCAGGTGTTGTGCAGGAACAAATGGAACCCAGTGCTATGTGGGGAAGTGGGGAGGTGTTCCTAATGTTCAGTGCAGAAGAGGCTTCCCAGTCATGACTCTCACCCTCCCTCTCTTCCCATCCCCTAGGGGACACGGCATTCATCATACTTCGGAAGCAGCAGCTCCTATTCTTACATTGGTTCCACCATAGCACGGTGCTAGTGTACACATGGTTTGCCTACAAGAATGGTGGGGCAGGTGGTTTCTGGTTCATGACCATGAACTATGGCATACATGCTCTCATGTATTCTTACTATACAGTGAAGGCCCTGGGTCTGAAACCACCCCGCATTTTGCCCATGATCATCACTACTCTGCAGATCACACAGATGTTTGTTGGGGCTTCTATTAGCATCCTGAGCTTCCTCTGGGAGAAGGATTGTGGCAGCTACAACTTTAAGCAATACTTCTTCTGGACTTTTGCAATGTACATAACCTACTTTGCCCTTTTCCTGAACTTCTTTTACCAGGCCTACTTCAGAACTGTTCAAGCCAAGGCTAAGGTCAAGGCCAAGAGCCAGTGAAGTCAGAGATTTAAGGAGTAAGAGAGCCAATTACCCCTCTCCTTTGGAAGGGGACCTTTCAGTGAGGGGAAAGTCCTGAGGGAGGGAATGAAGAACAGGGTCAGGCTCTGGGGATAATTGTGTGATCCCCTGCTACTCCACTGTGTTCCTGGGGAGGTAAGGGAAATTTTACCAAGATGTGCTCCCTCCTACGCATACACACAGAAAAAAGCCCCATAATTTGATATTTATGTTTTTAATGTGAAGGCCCTTGGGTAAGATGGAGGCTAGAGCTGGTCCTGTCATAGAGAAGTATCCATGGCCTTCTGAGGTTATTTATATTTCTATTGAGAAATCTTAATTCTTCTTGCTATATTTTAAAAAATTAAACATTTTTAAAATGTGCCTTCTCTCCTCTACTAGAAGTGCTCCTTGGAGTGGGATCTGTTTTGCCCATATGGAAAAATTTGGCATGAGAGTTTGGCATCAATGGTTGGGGGTAAGAGAGATATGTGCAAGTCAGCCTAGGAGATGTGGAAATATCCACACGCAATTGTATGAACAATAATATACATAGAAACACAGACAAATCTACAGACACAGATGGCCCTTAGCACCAACGATGACTGTGGACAACATAGACGCAGTGGCTGAGATGGAACCTATCAGAGAAAGCACTGGCGGTAAGAACAGGGAGCCCACATGTACATATATACAGGCAAACATAAACACTGCTAGGGACATACACACACAGAGAACAGAAATAGATAACAGTCACTTAAGAAATGTTCTTTATAGACTCATAGAATATTAGGAGTAGAAGGTAAAATGAGAGAGCGGTTCTAGATGAGAAAATGAGTCCAGAGAAGGGAGTGACCCTTGGATAAAGTAATTCATCAAATTAGTGACCAATCCAGAACTGGGGACCTAGATCTTCTGCTTCCTGGTCCTTCAGCCTCTTTCCACTGCACCACACTCCTTCGGTTTATGATGAGGTGACACACATACTCCCATCGTCACACAAATGCACACACCCTCTATCTTCTTATTTCCGCCATCCCCTTGTCTCAATCTCTGAAGTGATCGGGCCAGATCAGGTGGCAGTTCCCCTTGCGGCCACGAGGTGGAGCCGCGTCCGCATTGATTGTGGCAGGCGGAGTAGGCTGGTCCTCGCATCTCTTCACCTCTGCGCTAACACTCCCTGGCCTTGGTCTTTTCTTCCGCTAAGCCATAGGTTTCTCTTCCCATTCTACATAAGGGCAAACTGAGGCTTGGAAGCTGGGACAGGGGAGTGGGGGTTGAATACCTCCACCTATCGAGGTAGGATTAGGAGTCCTATTTGGGGGAGGGAAGATGAGAGGATTAGATTATTCCCAAGGAGGCTGAATCCCAGACTGAATCAGCAGGTGGCAGGGGAGTCTCCGGTTTATTTGATTTCTTTTCTTTTCTTTTTAAACCGAGAGGGAGAGGGAGTCGGAGATACCTGGAAGGGTCCAAGACGAGCTGGCAGGTGAACGCGGAACGTTTGTCCCCTACATATATCCCCCAGGGAGGCTCACAGTAACCTAGCCACCCTCCCCGGTCTCAGGCTTGGAGCCAATGTTTCTGTACCTACGGTTTGTCACTCAGGGTACCGTAGAGACCAGGGGGTGGAATGGGGACTGCCCCCCGCCCCAGTTCTTCCCAGAGAAGAAGTGGGGCTCTAGTCCAGGCTCTGGAAGGGCTGAGGAGGTGAGGCTGAACAAGCCCTGGGGAATTGCAGTCTAAGGCCGGGCTGATCTGTCCCCTGCCCTGCTCCTGGTGGGCGGGTGGGATTGGCTGGGGGGAGGGGTGACCGGCTGCTCATACTGGCCGCTCCACGGCGTATTGGCACGGGCTGAGGTTGGCGGCAGGGGCCGGTCCGGGCACTGCGGGATAACTGAAGGAGGCGTGCTGTTTGGCTTTGAGCCGCAGACTGGCCAGGCTTGAGTTGCACGGGTCCCGATATACGTAAGGGGAGGAGGCAGCGGCGGCTGCAGCAGCTGCTGAAGCGTAGGGGCAAGACACTGCCCCCGAAGACACGGCAGCCGGGGCCAGCCCCGCAGGCCCCCCGCCCAATCCCTGCAGGCCTCCTGGGCCAGCCACGGCGCCCGCAGCGCCCGCAGCAGCTGTGGGGACCATGGAGGCAGCGGTGGCGATAGAACCGGGAGGAGAGAACACAGGCTGCGAGGCCAGCGGGCCCACATTGACCGAGTTGAAGGCGAATGGAAAGGTCTTGGCTGCAAGCGGCGGGGCCAACGCCTTGGGCGGCCAGTTCCCGTAGGAGTACCCGGGGTACAGCTCCTCGTAGGGAGGCACCAGCCCGCCCAGCGACGCCCCGAAGCCGCCTTTGCACAGCTCGGCTTGCTGGCTCCTCTCCCGCTTCCGCCACTTGGCCCGGCGATTCTTGAACCATACCTGAGGACATGAGGGGACCCGGGGGTCATAAAGGTCAGGTAGCACGGGGCTACCGAGAAACAGGAGGGGTCAAAGGAATTCAGGGTCGAGGGGATATGGAAAATGAGCTGGGCATTGTTTCTAAGGGCAGACAAAAGGATGGAAGGAGGCACTGGATCTGGCTCAGGTGAGGCGAGGAGCTAGCTGAAGGTGGGGCAGGGTTAGGGAGCAGGAAGACGATTGGCTGGACCAGGTAGGGTGGAGCCACGGGAGGCGGGGCGAAGCTGGCCATCCGAGGCTAGGTGGGTCCAGGTATGAGTGTAGGGAAGTATTTATTGGTAAGGACGAATAGGAGGAGGGTCGGGGAGGGCAGGAGAGGGTTAGATAGGGTAGTGTAGGATAGGGGGGAAGGGAATTGCTGAGGATGGGAAGAGGTAGCCCCCGTACCCGAACTCGAGCCTCGGTGAGGTTTGTCCACACTGCAATCTCTTCTCGGGTGCTCATGTCCGGGTAGCGGTTTCTCTGGAAGGTCGCTTCCAGCTCCTGCAGTTGCTGGCTGGTGAAATGCGTTCGCTGCCGTCGCTGCTTCTTCTTTAGGGAACCATCCTCAGTTGGGGACCCTCCGGGCAATTGAGGTGGTGCCTTCTCAGTATCTAGATGGGAGTGAGGAAAAGCAGAGTCACCCTGGCTGGACCCAGGTCCTTCACTATGTCTAGGCCACTGTGTGCTCCTCCAATCACTGCAAGGATCACCCTAGGCCCCAGCTAGCCCCTCACCAGGGCCCACCTTCTATTCTAGGCCTCTGAGCCAAGACCCTCTCACTCACCGCTATGTTCCTGGCCCTTGCAGCTGTGCTCCGGGTGAGGGGGGTGGGGAGTGCCGGCATCAGACAGAGACAGTGCAGGGCTCCTGGCCTCAGCCTCACTCAGCAGGGCAAACTCCATGGGGCCCAGAGCAGGGTGGCTCTGGAGGCAAGGAGGAAGGGTGGTCAGCAGGAAACCTTAAATTGGCAACCTAGGCCCTACCCCCACCCCCACCAGTACCTAGGCTCTACAACCTAGGAATCATGCTTGACTCTTCATTCTCAGTCCCATATGGAAACAGTTGCTAAATCTTATTGATTCCACCTTTACAATATCTCATGCATCTGTTCCCTTCTCTCTACTCTTATCATAATCACTCTAGTTCAAGCCCTCATCACTTCTCACCTCCACTATTGCAATAGTCAACATATTGGCCCTTTAGACTCTTCCCTGTCCAACATCCTCCATGCAACTGCCAAATTGATATTCCTAAAGCATAGGTCTGACCATGTCACTCCTCTGCTTGAGAGACTTTAGTTACTCCCTACTACCATTAGGATAAAATATAATCTCACTCCAAACTATCTTTCTGGGCTGATTACGTCTTCCCTCCACTCACACACTCTATGCTACAGCCAAATTGTGCCATCTTCTGCCTCTGTGCCTTTGAATAGCCCCCCCCCCCAGCAATGACTGGAATGCTCTTCCTTCTCATCTCTATCTCTTGGAATTTCTAGTTCCCTTTAGAGCTCAGCTCAAGTACTATATCCTTCAAGGGCTCTTTCAGATTCCCCCAGTTGTTATCAGCTTCCTCCAAATTGCTGTGTATTTATTCTATATAGATCTTGTATTTACTTCTCTGAGAACATGGTTGTATTCACACAGATACTCTATGGAACGTAAACTGCTTGAGGGCAGGAACTGTCTCATTTTTGTATCTGATGCTGAGCATCATACTTAGTGAGCACTTTAATAAATGCCTGCTAATTTATGGGTTGTTCCAAAGTGGGATGCATCAGTATTCCTTACTGGTCAAGTGAGATAAAAACTGATGGCCTTGGGAGGCAGTGGCTATAGTTAATTCCATCTATACCAGTATCTAAATCCTAGAAAGAAACGTTTAATCTCAGAGGGCTCTATTTGAACACACACACACACAGTCAGACAGACATCTGTTGACGTTCTCTTCTCCCTATATAAATAACTAGATGCACATATAGACACTACACAAATGGTCTCCCTCCTATATCCACACTTAGAACCCTACCACACACAACTCTCACCCCCTGTTGTCTGGATACCCTGGTCTGATTTTACATCTAATACAGAACAAAGTACCCTGTAAGTAACATACTGCACTCTCTCCCCAGTGATCTCATAAATACATATCATAGGTACACAAGCTACCACAAACATTCACATATATAGTCTATACACAACCCCTCCATGTATGACCCCTTTCTGTCTCCTATAGGCTTTCTTGGAGAAACCATTGTTGGGTTCAGCCTAGCTCCATTCAATTTAATTTAACAAACATTTATAAGTATTGATTACATACATTGCTACCCTAGAGACTGGAAGACATGAAAAACATAAAAAGAAAATATCCTGCCCTCAAGGAACTTACATTTTATCAGATGGGAAGGCCCTAGGAATTCAGCTCCTAAGGTATTTCTAACCCCAGGACAGACCCCCACATCCATATTGAGCTCCCCTATTTTATACTGTCCCGGAAGGTGACCCCTTAAACTCTGACTTCTTAAGGGCCTTGAAGAACTTACTCTGGTGGGAGGAGGGGATCCCCAAAAGGGTATAGGGATTACAACATCTCTTTATGGGGAAAGGAGTAGGGCATTCTGAGATGATACTGTCCTGGCAGGCAGTGGGGAAGTGTCAACCTGCCATGTCAGCCCAAAGTAGTAGTTGGGTGGAGTTCTATGCAAAACTCTATATCATAGCATTAATATAATAGACAAGCCCCAATTGAGTCATACCTCACTTTGCTTCCTCTGAATTTGTTCTAAGTCTTTCCTGGGAAGGAACAGATGGATACTTATGTGCAGATAGTAATCCCCCCCTTTCCCTACCCAACTGTAAAAGATCCCAGCTGCCCCTGTCCCCAACACAGTTACCTCCTCCTCCCATCATTCTCTGGGCATGCCTGCCCAACAATCCTTTCAGCCCCTAGTGCCAGCTACCAATCACTCTCTCCAATCATTACCTATCTTATTTCATCAAAAATCTCTCCCTTGTCTATCCATTTAACTCATCCCTCCAAGACAGGAATTGGGGGCCAGAGCCAAAACCAGGAATGGCTCCCAGTTTTTCCTGTAGCCAGAGAAAACTTGACTTCACCAAGACTTATATGGTCTGATGCTGAGTGAAGTGAGCAAAACCAAGAGGACTTTGTACACAATAACAGCCACATTATGCAATGACTAATATTGTTAAACTGAACCCTTCTCAGCATTACAAGGATCTAAGACATCTCCAGAGGCCTTGGGATGGAAAATGCTGTCCATATCCAAAGAAAGAACTATGGAAGTCGAATCGCTATCACTTATTTTTATCTTCTGTTGAGTTTTGTTTCATCTTTCTGATGGTTCCTCCTATTGGTTTTAATTTTTACTTACAACTTCACTAATGTGAAAATATGTTTAATGGGTATGTAAATGTAAAGCCAATATCAGATTGTGCTCTGTCTTGGGGGGGGGAGGAAGGGGGAGAAAAATTTTCAACTCCAAAGCATATGGAAGTGATTGTTAATAAATCAAAATAAATTAATAAAATTTTAAAAAAAGAAGCTAAAAAAAGTTGACTTCACTCCATCCTCACCTTCAAAATATCTTTTTCTGTGTCTAGAGAAGTGAGTCTTTGAGACTAGAAGGAAAGAGAGAAAACATGGGAGAGCTGTGGAGGTCAGGGAAGGGGAGAGGTCAGGCAGCATGATGGCCCTCAAGACCCTCTTCTAGGCAGGTCAGGTCACCCAGAAAGTATAAAGAGAAACCTTTAGATAGTAAAGAGAAACCAGAGATGAGCCTTCAAGAAGCAGATTCACCATCTTTTACACTTTCCCTATCATTTCAACTTTCCTGGCAATTCCTACATACTCACCCATCTCTCCCAAATCTCTAGGTTTGAATGTTAGCCAGCAAAAAGAACCTCATTCTTTAGAATAGGTTGAAAGTTTTCTTGCCTGGGTACTGTTTAGTTCTCTGAGGGTGAGGATGTGTAGGGCAGAAGGATCATACATCCCTTATTTCCCTACCAACTTAGAATCCTTTCCCCCTGCCCATTTATTACCTTAGTATGAGGAGAAAAGAGTAAAATAGACAAAACCTAGGAGTCCATCTGTTTCTTCCCTACTCCTTGACTTCTTGATATATCCTAGAATCTAGACCTTTCTTCCCTGGGTGCTATGAGTGGTTAGTAACCCCCCTCAGGGTACTGCTGTACCCAAAAAGAGCAAGGGAGAGGGGTCCAGGGATGCCCAAGTCTCATCTCAGGTAGTATAGTAGGCACTTAGATGGCATAGTGGATAGAGTACAGGACTTGAATTTGAATCCTTCCTCGGACCTTTACTAGCTGTATGACCCTGGGTAAGTCACTCAACCTCTCTGTGCCTTAGTTTCCCATCAGTAAAATGGGGATAATAATAGCATCATATCCCACAGGATTGTTATGAGAATCAAATGAGTTAACATTTTAAAAGCTCATATAGAGCAAAGTGAGCAGAACCAGAACATTGTACACAGTAAGAGCTACATTGTGTGATGACTTTGATGGACTTAGCTCTTCTCAGCAGTACAAGGATCTAAGACAATTCCAAAAGACTCATGATAGAAAATGCTATCCACATCCAGATAAAGAACAATGGAGTCTGAATGCAGATTGAAGCATACTATTTGCTCTCGCTCTCTCTCTCTCTCTCTTTCTCTCTCTCTCTCTCTCTCTCTCTCTCTCTCTCTCTCTCTCTCTCTCTTTCTCTCTCTCTCTTTTTGCTTCGTTTCTTCTTTCTTGTGGTTCCTCCCATTTGTTCTAATTCTTCTTTACAACATAACTAATGTGAAAATATGTTTAATAAGAATGTATGTGTAGGGCCTATAACAGATTGCATGCTGTCTTGGGGAGGGGGTAGGGAGGTGGAGAAAATTTAAAACTCAAAAGCTTATGGAAGTGAATGTTGAAAACTAGAAATAAATTAATTAATTTAAAAATTTTAAAAAGTTTTTAAAAAGCTCATATAGCTTAAAGTACTTTCTAAATGCTAGCTATTATTATTAAATGGGTCTTCACACTTCTGGATCTCACATATTACCATAGGTCTTTGGGCCTGGAATCCTAGCATTTTGTTTGTCTTGGAAAATACCCACCTCTACCCCCCAAACAATCTTGCAATCTCTGTGCCTTAGTTTCTTCCTATATTTGGGGTGGAAGTGGTGAACATGTAGGAAACTAGCAACCAGAGGAGAAAAAAAAAAAGAAGACAAGGGATACAGAGGCTAACTCTCATAGAACTCACAGGGTTCATGTTCACTACAGTAGCTATTCATATACTTACATGGAGACAGACATAGCGACATTTGTACACACAACTGCTTATACACAATCTTCTTCATGGATATAAATACACACAACTCAAAGAAAAAGGTGCTCACACACAGAAACAATGTCATACACATCTACTATTACATGCTATCATTCATGCACAGAAATACTCACTCAGACACTCGAACTCAGACAGACATACCCACATGGAGACACAGCCTTCTCACCCTTGCTCTGTGACAGTGACAGCTGCTTTGCATGTTTTGGAGTCTATGGCTCTCCCCACTTGGGCCCCTTTCCACCCCATCCCCCAACCCTTCAGCAGGCAGGCTCCAGGAGCTAACGACTCTCCCTGAGGGAAAGGGGAACATGGATGGTTTGGCTGCTGATCTCGAGAAAGCCCGATAGGCGGTTTGGGAGAAGAGACAGGACTCAGGCCTCACCAAGGAACCCCATGAAGGCAGAGTACTTTTGGCAAGTGGAAAGAAGATGGGAAGTGACTCCACTTCTCAAGACCCATTTCCCCTCATGTCCCCTGTTCTCTTAGATATTACAGCTACATCTCTGTCCCCATAGTTTCCTGTGGAGGCACAGCCTCTTACTCCTTTAATGAGGACAA